ATAAAATAAAAACTAAGATAAAGAAATAAAAAATTGATTAACATATGATTTGAGGAAAGATTTGTTTGGTTACTTGAGCAATATACACTTGATAGAACTCTATAAATTTAAGAAAAAAGATTTGCTGACATTAATAACTAAAAATTAAAGCACCAACATGATAATATAGAAAATGAAAAGTAGGAACCAGATTAAATGTTGATAGAGACTGGATGAATATAGTAATTTTTGAAATTGTACTAAACATGTACTTATAACGGGATGAATATATAAAATTTGTATGGATCTATAATGTTTAAATGAATGAATTTAATAAGGATAATATTGGAATTTGATGTGGATAAAAACTGTAAATTTTCAAAATTTTAATATTTTAATAGGGATGTATGTAGAGTGTGATACATATATAAAGGGTATCACTATTTATATCCACAATTTTTATATATACATCTACTTTAAAAAAGATAATTATATTATATTTTTTGACTTATGTAAATTTACCTAAATAGATATATATAAAGTTAAATAAAAATATATTGTTCTAAATTCACCCACTAATGTTTATTTTCATAAATTCTTTTAAATATTTTTATATTCTTTTAGAGTTTTTGTTTAACTAAAATTCTAATAATCATATATAAAATATTATCTTTAATTAAAATTGTTGACCTCGAAAATATACCTCCAACGTGACTAATAAATTCCAAGACCTTTCACTTCCAAGCAGGTCATATTCTTGTACACTAGGACAAATGTTAGCCACACGTGTCCTTCTTTGGTGAGGGTGGAGCCGGCCACGCGCACTTCGATGGTTAAGTCAGTTTTGAAAAATATATATATATGAGTATGTGAGGACTTTTAACGTGAGTCTCCAATGTAAAAAAGGGGATCGGTATTTGGAGTAAATAATGAATGTAAAGAGGGAAATTATATTATCAAAATTTAAACTTGCATTACTTTTGAATGAAACTAAGTATGAGCTTTTATAGCGTGATGTAACGAGTGTGGATCGTCGGATGATAGGACACGTGTCCTCGTCCATGTGGGTTTGACTTTCCATCATGGACATCAATTAATCACAAGATATTAATGCTAATATCAACTCTCCTTTCATATGTTGTGGCCTGTGGCAGTAGATTTGACCAAATAGGTTGGTTGTGGCGACGGTGGCAGGAGCTATCACATTCATCATTTCAATATATTTGATTTTGGAGAATCCTTTGCCAAAGAACCTCGCCCTCCTTTCCGGAGGAGTTCAGTCTCATGAGTTCGGCTATAATACGAGCTCGTCACGAAGGTTCGGTCGGGGGTCCCACATGAATTTTGTCCACGTGGGACCCTCTACGGCCTCTATTGAAGAAGTTATACTAAGTATGAGCTTTTATAGCGTGATGTAACGAGTGTGGATCGTCGGATGATAGGACACGTGTCCTCGTCCATGTGGGTTTGACTTTCCATCATGGACATCAATTAATCACAAGATATTAATGCTAATATCAACTCTCCTTTCATATGTTGTGGCCTGTGGCAGTAGATTTGACCAAATAGGTTGGTTGTGGCGACGGTGGCAGGAGCTATCACATTCATCATTTCAATATATTTGATTTTGGAGAATCCTTTGCCAAAGAACCTCGCCCTCCTTTCTGGAGGAGTTCAGTCTCATGAGTTCGGCTATAATATGAGCTCGTCACGAAGGTTCGGTCGGGGGTCCCACATGAATTTTGTCCACGTGGGACCCTCTACGGCCTCTATTGAAGAAGTTATAACAAAAATCTTAAAACCCTAATCATAAAATATCATCTTTAATGGAAATTTAAAAAAAAAAATAAAAATAACACATTATTTGAGTTATAATTCGTTCATGATATGAAAATTGGAATCTTATTTTTTAATGCTTTTTTAAGTATTGATTTGATCAATAATAATATACGAGAAATTTCAAAATATATTTCAATACTTGTCCAAATATTTTTATATTATAAAAGGAAACAAACTTAAAATTATCGACTGAAACACAAACAGTCAAAATTATGAGCTTATAAGCAAAATAATAATAATAATAATAATAATAATAATAATAATAATAATAATAATATGATTTGAGTAGAGATTTGTTTGGTTGTGCAGTATACTCTTGAAAGAATACTATAAATTTAAGAAAAGAGATTTGCTAAATGATGATAGTGATTGGATGATTATAATGATTTTCAAAATTGTATTATGAATGTATTTATAGTGAGATGAATATATAAAATTTGTATGGATCTATCATGTTTAAATGAATGAATTTGATAAATACAATATTGGAATTTGATGTGAATGAAAATAGTAATTTATAAAAAAATTGACATTTTAATAGGGATGTATATAGAGTGCGATGCATATATAAAAACTGTGGATGTAAATAATGGTACCATGTATAAAAATTATGGATATAAATAGTGCCACCCAAAAGTTTTTGATGTACTTGTAATATTACTTTATTCAGAATGTATAGTTGAAAAGAGAGAAAGATGTATTAAAATTTTAATTGGAATCAAACGAGGGCAAGTCATTTAAAATTTAAAATTGTCTGATTAGTCATTGCAATTAATGTTTTTATTTGCAAAATTTCATGAAAGACAATGTCAAAATTTTAATTGTTGTTTTTCCACAATACATATAACAGAAAATAAACCATCTTCCATGTTCAGCGCATTAAAATCATAGTCAAAATTACATTCGTTTAAGTGTTTTTTTTAACCTAAAAAATGAAGTTAATAAAAAAAATGCTAAAAAGGAATTAATTTAATTACTTATGGTAAAAATTAATAATTTAATTATACATAATTGGACAATAAAATCTGAAGAACTTCCTTTTATTGCTTCTCAAAATTTATTGTCAAGGAGTTCAGATTCTACTATTAATCAATTTCTTTAAAGCTTACCAAACATCTAAAATAACTTCTGATTGTTAGAAAATTCGAGGTTGCACTCAAATGATGTTTTTATCTTTTCTGAATTGGCGTCCACTCATTTTCAAAACATTCATATTGCGGGAATTTTTATTTATTTATTTATTTATTTGAAAATTTGTCAAAGAAATATGTGACGATCAATTACTTCCCTTTTTATTGGGTAAATTATAAATGTCTACTTGAAATTTTGAATAATGCTATACAACTTTACTGTGGTTGTAACCCCAATTTAGGTGACATTAGATAATATATTGAATGAAATGTGTAATTAAATAACTTATTTAATTCCATATATGATTTAATGTCACATTAATGCTACCTAAACTGCGATTGTAACATCCAATTGAAGCGGTTGATGAGAAGAGTTAGTTCCCTTTTTCACTACGTAAGCCTCGGGATGGGCAGCACTTCTGTATGTGATTGTAGTATGTCATGTCATCTCTCCTCCTTGCACCGAAAAGTCCATTTTTTTGAAATTCCAATAAAATGAGAAAATGAGAGACCCAAAGTAATGAGAAAATGACTTCGAAATTCACTAACTACAACAACGCGCGCAACAAGATTTAAAGTAGAGTATGAGAATAACGAAAGTGGGTTACAAAATCTAGGACCACTCCGAATTCCATCATTTGCCAATCTTTCCCCCAAAAGGCGATGAGAAAAGGTAAGCGTGAAACTTTCTGATCGTACCGACGAACCAGATGGTCACTGTGAATGAATGTGTTGGGTGAGCCAAAGTACGGTATCATTCAAGTTTCGGCCACCCCGACGAAGGCT